GTTCTGTTGGATTTTTTTTAAATGTCACTTGGTTCGAGTTGGTTCCTCGGTCAGAGGTCACCGGCTGGGTTCATAACGGAATGACGTGCCCATAAACATCTCTGTTTTAGTCATGGAACAACCCACTGGTTTCATGAGTTGGACGTGGCAGATTTGTGTGTGTGTGTGTGTGTTTTGCCTCAAGTTCCTTAAATGAGAGGGAAGCTGTGACCTTATCCAGGACGGGGATTACTAAGAAGAGAGAGTGTGGTTTTGCTTCCATTTGTCTTCAGTTGCGTTGCCTGTGTGTAATAAACACCACACACTCTGCCCTATAATTGGGGGGGTGTGTGGAAGGGGAGGAGGTGGTAGCGCTGGCAGAAGGTGGGGAAGCGGGCTTGTCCGTGTAGCCGGGAGCCACCTGGGCTGCTCCTTAGGAGATGCTCCTCGTGGACCAGCCACAAGTCTCCACATGTCGTTGGACTACAGCTCCCATGATCCCTCGCCATGTGAATTCTTCCCCCCCCTCCCCATCTTGGAATGCGTCCATGATCACAAGGAAATGTCTGTTTACATATCTATAAATGCACATTTGTCCACTCGTAGACTTCAGGCAGCCTTCATCGTTGGTGGAGGTTCTGCCGGATTTTTGCAGACCTGTGAAATCGGCCGTTTTGCCTCCCAGCGAGTGGAGGTTCTCGGGGGGAATCTGTGCTCGTATTGGCTTGCATGTCGCGGCCACCCCTCCGGGTGCCAGTGTTGAAAGAAGGCAGGGAGTGTTTGCGGCTGCTGGCGTGTGGCTCTTTCCTTGGCGGTGGTTTATGAATATACGTATACATTTATTAAGTTTGGTCTTTAGTATCTGTGGCTTTAGTTTAAATTTCGGGCGACGAGGTGTACTTACATCACGGAGAGGAATTCTTGGCCTTCTGACGATGCTCGTTTTCCCCTTTGCTGAGCCCAAAGAGGGAAAAGGGTTGGTTTGTTTTTTTCTCTTACATTTTCTAACGGCAGATTCAAGCAAAGGCTTTGCCTTGAAAGCACACATGCACACACACACAAAATTAAACCACAGTAATTAATGCCTGTGGTTCCTTTCGGCACCCTCCTATGAAAGCTGAGTGGAGAGAGCCGGGAGCAAGCAGATTCCAGGCCTGTAGGATCTGTTTTGTGTTTTCTGTTTTGGGATCTGATACAAAAAGCATACCCTTGGAATGAAAGACTTTACGGGCCCACAGATTTGCTTTCAGGAGGAGCCGTGAAGAGCGCCTTTGGTCCTTCTGCTGAAAGATCTGCTCCTGGGGGGCCCAACCTTTCTTTCTTCCAGCAGTACCGTTTAGGGTAGCGCGAGACGGGGGGGGGGAGGCGATGCGTTTATCTTGTGAAACAACTGGGCATTGAGAAATAAATCCCCATGGGTCTGCTCCGGATCCCCCAGTAGCTTCAGCTGCTGTCCCTCCCGGGTGGTGGGTAGCTGGACTCAGGATTGAGCCCACATTTGGGGAGGGTGATGGGGCAATGCCAGCTCGGAGGCGGTCTGCCTGTTGTCCTCGTATGGGTCCTTCCCTCCACTTCCTGTCTCCGAAGGAAGTCGGGTGCCGGATGACACTTTTCCAGGCGGGAGGAGGCCAGACGTAGGGAAAGCTTTTGCAGCAGAGAGGGTGTTGGCTTCAAAAAGGCGAGCATGTGGTTTTTTTCCCCCCTGTTTGGCCTGAGAGCCCGCCTGGTCCCTACCCAAGGTCTATGCAGCACGGCAGGCCGTTGGCCTCTGCTCCTGTTGGCTGCCTCTGGCCCGAGTTCGCCTCCTTTCGGCCCTTGCGACTTCATGCCACCGGGATGAGCCGTCTGGTTTGCCCGCTGTGGGATAATTCACAATTAATTAGGAAGTCACCCCTTTAGTTGCTCCAACTGAAGACGGCGTGTTTTGTTTGTTTTGCTTGAAAAGTTTACATGCTGTTGAGCTGGCGGGACCCTCAAGAGCAGTTTAAAAATATGAAACAACACAGCCAGTTAAAAAGTTACATATGTTAAAGTGACTATAAGCTAGTCAAAGAGAGCGTTGCAATATTTGAGGTTTAAAAGGCATCGCGCACACAGACAAGTGTAAGAACGGAGACGGCAATACCTATCAGGGCCGAACGCTCTCTGGCCGAGGAGCCCGGCCCTCTAAATGTTATCAGGGAAGGCGCCAGGCAGGTCTCTCCTGGGAGACCTTCTGGAGTTCGTGACTTCTTTTAAAAATAAATCCAAACCTCAGTGTATTGCTTCTTTTCCCTTGCTCACCAGGTAGGAAGAGTGGGGGCTTACGTTTGTGACATAATTGAGGCTTTCGAGAGAGAGCTGGCTTGCCTTCATTTTTGAACCCGTGACTCTCACCTGACTGTGGGCTGTTCGGGTGCCTTCTGCCCTTAGCAGGGATGGGCCAGAGCCTTTCCATCCTTTGAGAGGCTTGAGCGATTGACGTATAAGCTTTCTGGGCCCGAATGAGCCCCCCGGGCTTTCCGTGGCAAAATAGTTCCATCCTTGGGAGGCCTTGTTCTTTCCAGTCCCCCCCCCTCCGTGCTTATGCCTCTCTCGCTTGGACCGTCTCCTTTCTACACAGAGAGAGAGAGAGAGAGTCCCCCCCCCCCGCCCAGGCAGGCAGCCACTCACTCTCTGCCTGTCCTCCTCTGTTCGCAAGGTGAACTTATAATCTTGTGGGTGAGCTCAGCCCGCCGGAGGAGGGAGGCCCTGTCCCTCTCGTCAGAGGGAGGCCATGAGAGCCACTTCACCCAGGAA